TTTAATAATATGCAACTGATATCTTTGCTAACTAGGAGGTAAAGAGTGAGTGAGCACTCTGTGTAAATTTTATTTAATTAAGTGGACAAAATGTGAGCCACACATAAACATTATTATATAGTCAGGGCAGGCAGGCAAGAGATATTATTTTTTATCAATTTAAAATATGTCAGTTTAAGTTAGCTATTTTAAAGCTTATTCCTCAAAATTTCAAGTTTTCTTCAATCTATCCCATTATCATGAAAACATCAAACTTAGAATATTCAAATATACCTTTTTGAAAGGAAAAAAAAAACGGTATTTGTTTGAAGAGGAAAAAAAAAAACAAGCCCAAAATGGAATCATTTATGCCATGCCCTACCAAGACTTAACCCAACCTAACTGCTGTTTCAGCTTGTTCCCAAAATGGAATTTAAACCAATCAATCTAGAACTTCCTGCTCAGCACCGGTGACATAATCTGCTTGATGAAATGCTCCTTCCTTCTCTTAAAGAAAAGTAGCTTTGTCTGAAGTCTTCCCTTTCTTGTCCTACTACTTTTGACTATAAAACCTTCCTCTTGTATAAATCCTTGTGGTGCCTTCTGCTGGTCAGATGGGATGCTGCCTCATTCATGAGCCACTTAATAAATAAGATTAGGATCTCTAACTTTATTTGGATGAATGTTAGTTTTTTTTAACACATCTTATAACACTGCTAAGCATACTCTTCAATAATTTATACTGACGACCATGCTGTTAAGAATATGCCTATAAAAATAAATACTATAATAAAATATTTTCATTATATGCACTTGAATTATGCCATGGAGTAAATAACAATCTTCTCCAAAATAATGATTTTTATTTCTCTCCATATTATTTCCCCTTAGTTCTCAAAAGTAAACTTTGTACATATTTGATTCATAAGGACTGTCAAAATAAGTAATTCTTGTTAAAAAAAAAATTATCCAAGTCAATTTGACGATCTAACTCACTTTATTAAATGATTCATGAATCAGGCAGTGTCCTATCTAGCAAGCAGAAAGGCAGGCCAAGAGCTGTACAAAATGAAAGACTTTTGTGAACAGTGGAGAGCTAGATAAGAAAGACAGTTGGTTATTTAGGGCAAAGTTGCCTTCCCTGGGTCAGGAAGGGTCTATCAGGAAGATGACCATGCCCCTGTTGACCTGGATATTCCAGACTGACCAGTAAAATTACATTCTTGGGAGGGGTTGAAACTTTATTTAAGTTAGGTACTAAGTCTTGGTTTGATCACTTGAGGATTAGTACAAGTAACTCCACTTAGGACCTGTTGTCTCCTTTCAACACAGTGGGTACCAGAAATATTTTTTAGATCAGGCAAAAACAGTGGAAAATTTAACTATATTTCTACTAAAATAGTTACTGGAAAATATTCTAAAAATACTCATTGTGAAATATAGTCGAATTGTTTAATTCTGGAGTCATAATTTTAACTTGAAGACATCAGTGTCTTCAAGTGACATCAGTGAGTCGTACAAGTTATTAAATGGAGTAAAAATGGGGCCTCCCTGATGGCCTAGGGGTTAAGTCTCAGCGTTATCACCACTATATGGCCTGAGTTCAATCCCTGGCCAGGGAAGTGACCCACATGGCACAGCAGACCTCTCCTGTCTCACCTGCTGCTCCCTGAAGCAGAGTATTTCAGCAAATCTGCCTGCTCTGCTCCCTACTCTGTCTCTGGTAAGTGTTCTAAACTGATGCCCCACCTCAGGTCTATACCCCTGTACTTGTATGCATAAATAAATGAAAATAAATCTTTTTGAAAAAGGTAAACAGGAATAGAACTTATCATTGAAGTAGTAAAAAAAAATTCAGAAAGATATAAATTTAAAGTAGCTTGCAGTATATTTGTATGTCTTACAATATTTGGCACATATCAACTACTGGAAACTTTCAAACTCACATTATCTCATGACTCAATACTTCCAATGGTGATAAATAATTTGTGTGTCAGTCTTTTGTAACAGTCTCAGTTATCACATATTTTAAATATTTACTCAGTCATATACTTCATCAGCCACATCTCTGCCTTCATGTTCACAGGGTATTCTCTTTGGTCTGTCTCATGCCTTCTCTCCTGCCTAACTCCAAAATTTCTCAAAGAATTTTATAAATAAAAGATTGTCAACTACTCACTTACCAGGTATTTTAAAAAAGAAGTTCAGGAAGGTTAAGTACCTACCTATAAGACAAACACATCATCCTAGCTTGAATAACAAGTAGGGTAAACCAAAGTGCTAAACAAAAGCCCATGGGTGCAGGGGGTCTCCGTGAACAAACCTCCGAGTCTGCATGCACTAACCGGTATGACCCTGCAACTACACATTTTAATGTTTGTAGGAAAGGATCCCTAGCAGTCACCAAATTCTCAAAAGATCTATTTTTTGTTCAAATAAACCCTTAACTTCTATGCCCTCTACCTCTGGCATATGAGAGATATTCAGGAAACATAATAGTTGACTAGTTTGCTAAATTCCAAACTAAGAAAAATTTATTGAAATAGACTAAAATAGAATGCAGTTATTCTGTCGAAAATACCGTTCACTCTGTTCTGCTGCCCTAGTACTCTACCTGTGTGGTGTTAAGGGTTTATGGTACAAAAATAGAGCCTTTTGAGAGTCTGGTGAAAGCTTGGGATCCTTTCCTATAAAACTTAAAATGTACAGTTGCAGATTCATATCAGCTAGTGCATTCAAATTAAAGTTCATTCATCATCCTGTAATTTCAAGTCCTGGAAGAATTACACAGGTTGTGCTGTCCAGTAAACCAGTTAATATAGATGTTTAAATCACAGCTTCATCTCCTTTAGAAAATCACCCATGTTTTTATTTAGCTTCACCATTTTATTTAGTTAAAAAAGGCTTAATGACATTTAGTAAATGATATATTAATTAATTTAGAAAATCACTATGTTCTTATTAAAGCAATTGATTTTTTTAATGTTTATAACTTTCATTAATTTCATCACATAACACATACTACATTGAATTAAAATGAGTTACCTTACTTTGCTATAGTCCCAATACCAGTGGAACAGCGCTAATGGATCCACAACACATGCTGGAACACAGATCAAATCTGTGACTTTGAAAACATGAAGGAAAAGTCTTGTGCCCAAAACATGAGCAGAGAACAGCAGCACCATAGGATAGGTAGAGTAAATATTTGATGAATCAATGAAAAGAAAAAGTAGATAAAGCTATTGGAGAACAGACACCCTCTTTGAGTAGGAAGCCATAACCACAAGAATAGCGGATAGGACATTCACCAATGGAAAGAGATACAGTGGTGAGATCCTAGTCGAAAAGGACTTGTGTTTTTGTAGAGCATTAACAAATAGCACCAACCTTATCATTACAATGGAGATACTAAGCACAACTCTCTGTAGTTGTGTTTAATAATATTTCTTTTGATATTTTGTTACTAAGGATTTGCAAATATGGAAGCAACCAAAAGTTCCAGGAATGGGACCTCAAGACAGAAGTAGTATTCTCTGCAAGCAGCAGAGGCCAGGTGGTCTGTACCACAGATGCACCTGATAAGGAATTGCATTTAAAACACACAAATTGTATTTGCAAACGCTTTACATCCTTCAGAGGCATTTGCAAATGATGATTCACTTCACTAATGGAGAAAAGCTCTTTTCCTTCCAAGGTGGGGTCTTACATTTGTGTCCCAATTCCAACTGAGTGACTGCTTGATAGATGACCATGCATTTATATTTAAATATAATCATGAGCATTACTAAATATAGGCAAGGACGGCTTTCATAAAGACATTGCCAAATTACCAAATACTACAGAGAAATAGTGACTTTCTCACCCTCAAAATTTCATGAAAGAGAAAATGTACCAGTTTAACTTCTATGTACCCTCTGAGACCTAAAGAAATGAACACAGGAATTTTAGGTAAGAGCTCCCTTGGAGTGTGTTAAGACAAGGATTGCTATTATTCTGCACCCCTAGAACAAAGACCCTTGATACTTTAGAGAGAGAGAAAAATCCGAAGATCCAGATCTTTAGTGAAACAACAGAGATTTAACCATTTACCTTACCTGGCGCTGGGGTTTCCTTGTGTCAGGTGTTTTTTTCCTAGAAGCTGAAGTTGAAGTCTTGAGAGAAACTGTGGAAGCTTAAAAAAAGAGCAGGTATTGCTTTATTTACAATTGGAAAAACATGGAAGCAGCCCAAATGCCCAAAAGTAGATGACTGGATTAAAAAGATATGGTACACATATACAATGGAATATTACTCAGCAACCAAAAAAAGAGAAACATAAGCTTTTTGCAGCTGGAAAAGATCATGCTTAGAGAGATAAGCTAGAAAGAGAAAGAAAAATACCGGATGGTTTCACTCATAGCAGGAGTATAATGGACCAGGCAAGAAAATAACAAGAATAATGAACAGCCATATACCAGAGACATTTTGTGGGGGTGGAGTGGGGAATGGGATCAAAAACGGATAGGGTGAGGAGGGAAGTGCACGGGATTATGGGTGATGGCGCACGGGTGACTTGGTGATGGGAAACCCGCGGGGACTACAATTGAGATGGGAAAAAAAATGTAAAAATGTAAAGTAAACTGTTATTAAAAAAAAAAAAGAGCACGTATTTTATGATACAAATTCTATTTAAACTCTTCATATAATGATCCACTTATTAGGTGGAATACTAAACATGTCTTAAAATGGTGTTGTAGAAGAATTTTTAATGAAAAAGAAAGTGCTCATCTAAATTTTTCCTTCCTTTTATGATATACTGAAATTGTTCATGCAATTAATAAAAATGAGTGCCATGTGGCACTTCAGGACATAGAAGTAAATGCATCTAGAAGTAAATGCCAGTTTGCACAACATCATTACACAGAAATTTTTTTTATTTTAGTAAACCTTTGTACTTTTCACTTTTTTAATCGAAGTACCATTGTTCTACATCCTTGTCAGTGTTTTGATATTACAGGATTCCTTCTCAAGTGTAGTCATTGTGGGGCTCCCACCACCCAACAGTGCATAGATCGCTACTATTACACAGAAATATTCTCACTTTGCAAACTCCTTCTGTATGCATCATGTATTTCTCTTGGTGGAAAATCAATGTAAGAAGTTTTCAGGATGAAAGAACCTGTCCTCATAACACCAGAACGTACAGATATTTCCTTGTAGTTCATCTGAGTAATTATTCGACAACGACCCTGAAAAAAACCGTGAATAACTCAACAGGAAGAATTTTGGGGTTCTTAAATGCAACATCTTCTACATAACAGCATAGATCACTTAGTTTGTAATTTCTAAACAGAGTGATTCACCTGTTCATAGTTCTGGGTAACCTACGGCCAGGTTCCACTAGCCCCCTAATTCTGAAACTAACCACAAATACTAGCGCTGTTCAGAGGGTATTATCATTGGGTATAGCTCTCTGCCAGAATTGTAACAGAAAGTGTGAATGCTGATGTTGTGTACTTACGAATGTGATAAATACAAGGAAGTGAGACTTTAAGTTGTCAGAGACAATGGTTCTTCCAGCCCTGAAATAAAAGGATTCAGAGACTACTAAGAAAATTTCCTTACTCATACAAAACTATTCATTGAGACTATTATGAGCTGGCTAGAGATAAAATAGCAGCAGAGTCCAGTACAGTGCCCAGTTTTATGTATTTTCCACTCGCAAGTATTTCTTGAACATCTTTCTGTGCCCATGTAGATTTGAGGGAGACGCAGCCAGAGAGCCTGATCTTTAGAGGCAACCATATATTCATTTGTGTTCTAGTTGAGATTTTGAGGGCTATGTAAATCACGAGATAGCATTTAAGTAAATGTGCAGTGGTATAGGCAGACTAATTGAGGAATCACTGGCTCAAATGTTTATTAAGGTTATTAAATAAAGCTTGACTACCGTGCTCTGCTTCTGTTTTTATGTCATTGTTTGGGTGTCTCTGAGGCACCCAGGCACTTTCCTAGGGTCTCCCCCAGACACTCATCAACCATGGCCTCAGTTAATTCAAGGTCAAATAGCTCATCTGATAAAGTAATTTCTATTACAGAGCCACATGGAGAAATTAAGACTATTTTCCTAAACAAAAGACTTGCATTTTAACTTCAACCTTGCAGAGTCCTCTAGGACAATAGTTAACCTAGATGACCCCAGAAGAGTGATGTTAAGTAACAGGTTAACCTAACACTAACAGGAGCAGGGGCAATGAGAGAGACCCCTCTAACCCTCAGGGAAGGAATCCCTATACAGAGAAGGTAGGACTCAGGCCACTGCCCACATGAAGAATCTCTCCTTCTGTTACCTTCAATGTCCTAAATCTGATTTTTCAAGAGCTAGCAGATTTTTGAAAATTCATTTCGATCATTTTTCAATGATTAGAGGGAGGCTGATAAAAGATTACTGTCCCCTCCCACCAAGTGCAAACACTTCCCAGTGAGTTGTAAGTTAGTGGCCTAGTCCTGTAATGAAGAGTACTGGTGATTCTTCAAGCTGGAAGACAGCTTCAGCAGGCAACACGGAGACAGCATGCACAGCCAGTCCCTAGAACTGCTTCTCAAGCTACATCCAGCCCTGGGTTCTTGACTAAGCAGACAGATTCACTAAACGGAATTACAGGGGCCCAGTGAGTCCTCAAATCTTCTGGATCCTTCCCTTATTATATTTTCACTTCTGTAACATTAGATCACAGCTCTCTAGACTGTAAAAGTGTTCTTTATCCTCAATAAATCTAACGGCCATGTCAGCAAAGTCACTAGAATCATCCTTAAAATCAATTGTGCCATGTCATTCCTCTGGGCAATGACAGTACTCTCCTTATGTCTTTGAGGCTGTCTGAGCACTGAAAGCTCCACCTACCTCCTCTTGCCTAAGTTAATTTCGTCATCACTCGATACTACACACACTCCACTCTAACCAAAGGCCACACATTTTGTTGAGCTTGCTGGGACACCATGCAGATTACTTCCCCTGACTCCCCATCAATCTGGGTCATCAAAAGCTGGCTTTGTACTTACTTTTCCAGGAAACCTCCTATCAGTGACCTCAATTATTTCACATGGCTTTCTATTAGTAACTTGTTTTAACATTGATTTGTTTTCCCCATGTATTCTATTCTAAACGTGTAGTTTTTCATATCTTCCTAAACTTTCTTTCTTTCTTTTTTTTTTTTTAAGATTTGTTTATTTATACATACAAGTACTGGGCTGTAGGCCAGAGGTGCATGGGTGAGAGGATTCACCACAGACAGAGTTGGGAGCAGAACAGGCTGATCTACTGAAATAAAGTGCTGAGGGGAGCAGCGAGCAGGTCAGGAAGGGTCTGCTGCTCCATGTGGGTCAGCTCCCTGGCCAGGGATTGAACTCGTGCTGCAATGACTTCAGACAGCTTCATAGTGCTGTGCTTTAACCCCTTTTGCCACCAGGGAGGGCCCCTCTCCCTAAACTTTTTTTTTTTAAAGGTTTATTTATTTATTCGTACAGAACTGGGGTACAGGTCAGAGATGCGGAGGGTGAGGGGATTCACCAGAGATTTGTTTTCCCCATGTATTCTATTCTAAACGTGTAGTGTAGAGTGGGGTACAGAACAGGCAGATTGAAGAGGTACACTGTTGAGGGGAGCAGCAGGCAGGTCAGGAGAGGTCTGCCACGCCATGTGGTCACCTCTGGGGCAGGCGGGAATCAAACTCATGCTGAAGTGGTTTAAGCTTCTCTGTGCTGTGCTTTAACCCGCCGCGCCACCAGGGAGGGCCCCTCTTCCTAAACTTTTAATCTTTAAAATCAGCAACCATTTCCTCCAATCCTCTTTTTTGGTCCACTCCTTTTAGTCCATCCATCTACACAATTTCCAAAATACATTTTAAGTTAGGAGTTTCTGTCAATGAGCAGACGATGAAATCATTTTCATAAGTCTCTTACCAACATCTTCTGATGAACTAGATTACAATCTAAGAAAACCGAAACTAACAGAGTCTTGCCTAAAGACCTTTCTGAAATCCTCACCTTGGGACTAGGTGTGAGTATGCTAGACCATAATATCAAATATATTGCTTATTAAGTGGTGGCCAGAAAACCAGAAGAAACATGATGGGTGATTTCATATTTGTCCTCAGCAAGAACATCAGCAACATTACCTGATTTGGATTCCCTTAGCAGTAGTTTTCAGGTTACTGGCTCATTTCTCCTTGGCATTTGACGTCCTCTCTACTGGCTCCAAGCATCAACTAATCCCCTCCCCACATGACACCCTGCCCGCCTCTGGGATCACAAGGTGACCTGCGTGCTGCGATCCACAGGGACCCTGTATCCTTGTGGCCTATGTTTATGCCC